ACGGTGCTCCTGTTCTCTTCGTTCGGAAGAAGAACAAGGACCTGCGGTTGTGCATCGATTATCGCAAGCTCAACGCGCAGACGATCAGGAACGCCGACCCTCTCCCACGCATCGACGACCTTCTCGAGCGATTGGGCGGCGCCCAGTTCTTCTCTAAGCTGGATCTCAAGTCAGGGTACCACCAACTCGAGATTCGCAAGGAGGATCGCTACAAGACCGCGTTCAAGACATGGTATGGGCATTTCGAATGGCTGGTCATGCCATTTGGCCGTACGAATGCCCCAACCACTTTCCAAGCGGCTATGACGACGGAGTTCTGACACATGATGGATCGTTTCGTACTTATCTACCTCGACGACATTCTGGTTTACAGCCGGAGTCTGGACGAGCATGTGGAACACCTGCACACCGTTTTGGAGCGGCTACGACAGGCCAAGTACAAAGCAAACCGCGACTAGTGCGAGTTCGCACAGCAAGAGCTGGAGTACTTGGGACACTATGTGACGCCGCAAGGCATCCGTCCGCTTGCGGACAAGATCGAGGCCCTACGAGTATGGCCAGAGCCCACCAACACCACGGACGTTCGTTCATTCATGGGGTTTGCGGGCTACTATCAGCGATTCATCACCGGATACTCCAGGATTGCTGCACCTATGACGAGGTTACAGTCGCCAAAGGTGCCATTCGTATTCGATGACGACGCACGYCGGTCATTCCAAGCACTTAAGACGACTATGCTCATGGCACCCGTCCTTAGCATCTATGACCCCACCCTGCCGACGCGAGTGACTACGGACGCTTCCGGCTATGGCATTGGGGCAGTCTTGGAACAGCACGACGACGACGAATGGCACCCTGTGGAGTATTTCAGCCACAAAGTGCCTCTCATCAATTCGCTTGATGATGCAAGGAAGAAGGAGCTGCTCGCATTCGTGATGGCTCTCAAGTGCTGGCGGCACTTCCTCCTTGGGCGTCGTAGGTTCACATGGGTCACAGACAACAATCCATTGACCTATTACAAGACGCAGGACATGGTGAGCAGCACGATCGGACGATGGATGTACTTCATCGACCAATTTGACTTCACACCAAAGCATGTCCCCGGCCTCTCCAATCGCACAACAGATGCACTCTCGCGAAGACCTGATCTTTGCGCTATGTCACATCATGCCTTCGCATTCGACGAGGAGCTTCAGTGACACTTCATCCGGGCATATCAGTCTGATCYGGACTTCGGCACGCTCTATGCACAACTATCTTCGGATCACCCGCCGGCCAGCCATTACCGCATTGCCGACGGGTACTTGCTCCTCCACTCGAGAGGCAAGGACTTACTATGTGTCCCACGCAACCGTCGTCTTCGGACTCGCCTCCTCGGCGAGTACCATGATTCACGACTCGCCGGCCATTTCGGAGTCAACCGCACTATTGCACGGCTTCAACAATGATTCCGATGGCCCGACCTCATTACCGATGTCACTCGGTATTGCGACTCTTGCGAAGTTTGCCGACCCCGCAACCGCAATCCCTACGGCGAGTTACACCCGATGCCTATCCCACGGGAGCCCGGTCTCTCCATTGCCATGGACGTCACCAGTCCGTTTCCTCGCGACCGGCTCGGGTACGACGGCATCCTCACGGTTGTGGACCGATTGAGTAAGTACGTGTGTTTTCTCCCTTGCAAGTACTACTCCACGGCTCCCGAGCTGGCACGCCTCCTGCACAGTGGTTGGATTTGTGGTCACGGTGTACCAGAAGACATTGTCAGCGACCGCGACACTCGTTTCATGTCGGCGTTTTGGACTGCTCTCATGCAAGAGTCCGACACAACAATGAAACCTAGTTCGGCTCGACATCCTCAGACAGATGGGCAGACGGAGCGGGCACATCAAACCGCTGAAATGATGCTTCGTACGCTCATCCGTCCGGACCAGAAAGATTGGGTTGACCACCTCCCCGACATCGAGTTCGCCTACAACACTTCGGTGCATCCGGCGATCGGCGTGACTCCATTCGAGTTGCACCACGGCGGACGGAAAGGCCGGATCTTCGCAGACCTTCTCCTCCCTTGACCAGCCGACATTGACGCTGCCTGCTCTCCCGCTTCCATCCGGAAGTACAGGGAATTGCTGACTCAAGCCCGCGCAAATATGCAAAAGGCTCAAGTCCGCATGCAGCAGCAAGCCAACAGGCGTCGCGTACCATGTCCCATCCGCGCCGGTGATCTGGTTTGGGTCTCCGCGGAAGAGTTTGCACTGGAACAGGATGTTTCACGCAAACTGCTTCCCAAGTGGTTTGGACCTTGGTCTGTGACAGCAGCCACGGGCGATGAGCCCGATGGCCCTTCATTTGTGATCAACATTCTAGAGCATCTGATGGTCCATGCGGTCTTCCACGCCTCGAAGCTGGCAACATACACGCCAGCCAAGAGCGACGACTTTCCGGACTGANTTCTGATATTAGTAGTTCGTTTTTACGTGACAAATATCTGAAAATTTCTGATAAATCGCATTTCGTTTTGTCTGAAAATTCCTGATAGTAGCATTTCGTTTCTCTGATATTTCGCATACATAGCTGAAATTTCTGAAGATTAGTATTTCGTTTTCTAGGCATATTGGGATAACGATAGAAGTGGTCATATTCTCGGAAACTGAAATTATTCTGTTCCGAAAATCGGATTTCCATTCTATCTCGCAAATTCTTTTTTTTGAAAACCGAATCTTGCGAAGCCTACCAATATTGCATTAGGCATATTCGGAGGTTGCTATATTCTCAGAAACTGGATTTCGTTCTTTTCTGAAAATCGCATCTTTACTCCATTTCGCGAAAAAAATTTCAAGATCGCAGTTTGTAAAAGCCGAAACTTTGCGGCACCTAGCCTAGATTTCGTTCATAATACTCTTCTGACATATCCTACTCATCATAAATCGACAGATATATACAAAAAAAAAAAAAAAAGGAAGTAGTCCTCTCTTTGTTTTTATTTTTTTTATTTTATCTGTTGATTAGGGCGGAGGAAAGTATTGTTGGGTTGGTTACCTACCTACGTTTTCCCTCCCACCCACCCCTTGCATGCATCCCGGTTCGGTACAGTGCCACGTCAGCAGCGCCACGTCACAGTGCCAGATCAGCAGTGCCACGTCGCAGTGCCAGGTCACAGTGCCACGTCAGCAGTGCCATGTCACAGTGCCAGATCAGCAGTGCCACGTCAGCAGTGCCACGTCAGCAGTGCCAGGTCACAGTGCCACGTCAGACTCAGTGCCACGTCAGCAGTGACGTCAGACAGTGCCACGTAAGCAGTGCCACATCAGCAGTGCCATGTCAGACACAGTGCCACGTAAGCAGTGCCACATCAGCAGTGCCACGTCAGACACAATGCCACGTAAGCAGTGCCACATCAGCAGTGCCATGTCACACAGTGCCACGTCAGACAAAGTGCCACGTCAGCAACATGACGGGCCTGCCAGGCCAACTGGCCAATGAGCCCATTGCCGACTACAAAAAGCGCGTCCATGCTCAGCTCGCTGCAATTGAGGCTGAGGAACAACGCCAGCTGACAGTCAAGGCTGCCCAGCTACAGGCTGATGAAGCGGCAACAGCAGAGAAGCTGCGGCTACAGGCCGAAGCAGACGCAGATGCCCAGGCTCGCCGCAAGGAAGCCCAGGCTCTGCTGCAGCGGCATGAAGCCAACATCATCGAGAAACTCAAGTACTGGCACTTTGAACCGAACGGCGACGAGCCAACACCGGAGAGCATCATAAGGAGTTCATGGCCAAGCTCGTGAGCAGGTTGGTTTACACATGTAACCACCTACAGTCCGAGCTGGCAAACCTTCAGCGGGCCGTGCGGAATCAGAAGACTAAGCACGAGGATGCCACACGGGCACTGGACGCCCGTGTACTGGACCTGGAACAGGCTGTACCAGGACCAGCTGCTGGGGCTTCCAGTAGTGCATCCTCTAGCCGCCAACTGGAGGAACGCGTTGACCACGTAGTGGCAATGCTAGGAGACATAAGTGTCTTCACAGAGCCGTCCACCATCAGCCAGCGGTTCGAGTTGTTGGACTCCAAGATCAGTCAGCAACAGCAGACAGACCACAGCCGCAACAACAGCTCGGCGAGGCCATACAAGATGCCGACGTTCCGGATCGAGAAATTTGATGACTACACACATCAAGACCCGGTCGTCTGGTGGCAAGGATTTACAACGGAGTTGGGGATTCATGAAGTCCCTGACCATCTGTTCATCAGTGCTCTGTTCATCAACACCAAGGGAGGTTGTCAAATCTGGCTTAGCCACATGGCAACCATCCACGACATCCAGGTTTCAGACCTATACAAGAAGCTCTCCTGGGAGGACATGACAAAGGAATGGAAGAAGCGGTTCATCGTCGACGATGCCCCGACACTCGCCGTCAATCGCATCTTCACGATGGCTCAAGGGAGCACACCGACACGTGACTGGCTCACAAATTGGCAGAAAATCGTGGCGACGCCCGATTTGGACTTGTCATTTCCGCATCTGCGGCGTGAGTTCTACAACAGGTCATGCGCCGCTCTCAGCCTCGCACTTGGTGATCGCGAGCAGTACAGCACTTTCGCAGAGATCATCAACAAGGCGAGAGAGCTCATCAAGACTAACAGGCCGACTGCACACGAGAAGTCCACGTGGCAGCCCACCTATGTGGAGAAGGTACGAACTGGTCCGCGACAGCAGCAGTTCGTTGCAGTCCAGTCGGACGGTGGAGAAACCCAGCAGCCACTCCAGCATCAAGTGACGAAGATCAGGTGGATGCTGTCCTGCCTCGAAGCAACAACAAGTCCCGCAACAATGGGAAGGCGAAAYCCGCATCGCAGGCCGGAAATGGACAGCCAGGGCAATTTCCATGGGTCAAGTTTGGCTTGACCGAGGCGGAGTACAAGGTCCGCGGCCGCTACGGCAGCTGCTATTGGTGCAACAGCACCAAGCACAAGACCTCYYTGTGCCAAGATCAGGGCAAGGAGGATGTGCGACCCCGCCTCAGCTCGGGAAACTGAGMTCCGCGGAAGGTGAGGCGACTCCACCTTCTACTCCGCCAGATTCGGCCGCCTTGCTAGCGGCCTCCTGCACATCTGGGGAGGATGCGAATGTCGCAAGTCCTCGGTATACKTACGAGGATTATGCTGTCCACTTGGTTCCACCGCTGGACCAACCGCTCCATGTGCAACAGTCCACCGCATGCACGGTTTCATCACCATCGACAACCGATTCGGCAGCTTCGCCGCAATCTATAGCCGGGGATTCGACGTCATGGTCAAGACTTGAAGAGCTCGACCAATTGACATTCACGGACTTCCAGTGGATGCCCGTTCCCTCGACTGGACGATTGCCGAAACCGCATTGCAACGTGCTTATGGCACAATTGCGGGACAACTTGCACACTGCAGTACCAGCTCCGTTGATGGACGCCGGAGTAGAGGTTGTCGACCTTCACGTTTACATCGCGAAGATCGACCGAGAGATCAAGACGCAATGGTACGACGACATCGACGCACCATTGCTATATGTACGCATTCAGATCGGAGAGGCGACCTGCAGTGCCTTGATCGATTGCGGAGCATCTCGCAACTACATCAGCCAGGACTTCATGGTACGCG